GAACTCGTCGAGTTGAGACTACTGCGACGGCTGTTCCTTCACCGCTTCGGATTACCGCAGCTCTTCCCGTACTCCAAGTACCTCAACCGAGCTCAAGCCAACCAGATCGCGCACATGATCGAAGTGGAACCGGCGATGTGGATCGTTCTACTTATAGTGGCATGGTCGATCTGTGGGCTGCTAGAGATCCTCAAAACGCTCGATACCGACATGCCAGAGAGCCACGAACTCGTCGAGTCCTTCATGATGTTTGCGTGGATGTTACTACTGCTCCACGTTATGGTGTGTCTGTACTTCCGCTCCTGCGTACACCACTTGCTCCACTCTGCAGCGTTCAGTAAGGACAAGGCCACACTCGTTGCCAACTTGAACGCCATCGCCGATGAAGAAGCAGAAGCGTGGAAGAACGAGGAAGCAGACAAGGCGTTGGAGGTCATGGGCTTCATTCAAGAGCACCACGAAGAGCTGGAGCTCCAACGTGAACGCAACAAAAAGGCAGGTGTCGGACACCTCAACAAGCGACGCGAAAGCTTGGATGGTGTCATGCCCGAGTCTCCGAACATCGAGATCCGCTTCTTCTCGCACAAGGGATGGCACATTGGCGTCATGTTGCTGCTTATTCTCAACGGGTTCCTCATTACGCTCTTTGTACAGTGTGCATTCTACGATATGGACGATATCTACGAAGACTTCGGTACACTACCCACTATCATGGTACCGCTCCCCCTGGTGATCAACGCAGTGGTTCTACAGCGTCACATCTTCTATGACTTTGTCGTCGTCAGCAACACGCTGCGTATCAATTCCCACACTCTTAGTGACGTGGTGGAGAACTTCAGTGAAGTGGTTCATCTACGATCCGAGTTTGCCACTACACTGCTGAACCATATTATCCAACAAGAGCTGAATATCTCGGATCTCCAGGCCGAATTGAAGGCCCGGGACCGAACCAGCTCCGGATTCATCGACGTGGACGATCTACGAGAAGTTCTGTCAAAGTTCGGCTTCCGCTTGACTCGCTATCGCTTCAACAGCGTGGTGAAGCTCTTGTTTGAGCTCGAAGGCACTACCGTCGCGTACTCGCACGTGGTGCGTCTGGTGCTCATGGCACAGAACGACAACCTCTTCGAAACGATGTCCGTGCGTCAGCAACAGCCACACCCGCTACTGCGACCCAGTGTCATGATGTACGACGATCTGAGCCAGTCCAGTATGCGCTCCCAGTCCAACTACAACATTTTCAACTCGACGCGACAGGTGCCGGTGATGGCGCCGCCCAGTATGGACGAACCTAATGCGTCCGACTTTGTGACTGTCGCCATGAGCAGCAATATTCTACCGCAGATCTCAAGCCGCGGGGCTAAAGCCATGAGTATGGAGCGTCCCAGTGTCAGCTCGCAGGCTCTACACGACATGTTCAACCTGCATCGCTTGTCCGAATCCCGCGTTCAACATCTCTAGTGTCGCCGTCATCTCCGTGTCGTAACTCAAAAGTTGAGCGATCGTAGCTCATATATGTGGATAAATTAGGCCCAAAGCATAAAGTATATCAACAATCAACCTTTTGCTATGTCGTACCGTTTTGTCCGTTACGGTACAGCCGGGTGTATTGCGTCCTAGCCTTCTGCCGTTTTTTTGACTTGAACGTTGTATGTCAGTTTTTTTGGACCGCACTGTTTTTTTTTCTTCCTTTTTGGGCTCTTTTGGACCGCAACTTTTTGGTCTTTTAGTCCGTCGGCCGTTTGGTTGACTGGAAGGTTGTATGGC